TGGGGCTCCTCCTGGCCAGGCAGGGCTCGGCCACTGCCTCGGGGGCTGCTGACCCTGCGTCCGGCCCGCAGGGCAGATCTACTGGGCCAAAGACATCATCTTCCTGGTGACGGAACACGACCTTCTGGGCACCGAGGCTTGGCTGGAAGCCTACCACGACGTCAACGTCACTGGTGGGTGCGCTCGCTGCCCTGCCCCTCACTCCGCTCCGGCCCCTCCCGCACCAGCCCCCAGGGCAGCTCACTCACCTGCTCCCACAGGCATGCAGTCCTCCCCGCTGCAGGGCCGCGCCGGGGCCATCCAGGCGGCCGTGGCCCTGGAGCTGAGCAGCGATGTGGTCACCAGCCTGGACGTGGCCGTGGAGGGGCTCAATGGGCAGCTGCCCAACCTTGACCTGCTCAACCTCTTCCAGACCTTCTGCCAGAAAGGGGGGCTGCTGTGCACACTGCAGGGCAAGGTAGGGCCACCTGCCTGGGGAGGCGGGGCCTGTGGCCGGGAGGGGGGGTGTCTGACCCTGACTCCAAACCCTCAAAGCTGCAGCCCCAGGACTGGACATCAGATGGGCCACTGCAGGGTCTGCAGACGCTGCTGCTCATGGTTCTGCAACAGGCCTCTGGCCGCCCCCACGGGCCCCACGGCCTCTTCCTGCGCTACCGTGTGGAGGCGCTGACCCTCCGTGGCATCAACAGTTTCCGCCAGTATAAGTACGACCTGGTGGCCGTGGGCAAGTAAGTGTCTCCGCTTCTCCCTTTCCCTGCTCGGGGGTGGGAGTGGCTGGGCCCTGGCCAGCCTTGACCTTGTCTCCCACCTGCAGGGCTCTGGAGGGCATGTTCCGGAAGCTCAACCACCTGCTGGAGCGTCTGCACCAGTCCTTCTTCTTCTACCTGCTCCCCGCCCTCTCCCGCTTTGTCTCCATCGGCCTCTACATGCCTGCGGCTGGCTTCTTGCTCCTGGTCCTTGGTCTCAAGATATCCTCTGCACCCCCGTCCACTTTCGACCAGCCTCCCGCAGGTCCCCTCCACTCTAGGCTTAGGGCAGTGATGGCGAACCTATGACACATGTGTCAGAGGTGACACGTGAACTCATTTTTTTAGTTGATTTTTCTTTGTTAAATGGCGTTTAAATGTATAAAATACATATCAAAAATATAAATCTTTGTTTTACTATGGTTGCAAATATCAAAAAATTTCTATATGTGACACGGCACCAGAGTGAAGTCAGGGTTTTTCAAAATGCTGACACGCCGAGCTCAAAAGGTTCGCCATCACTGGCCTAGGGAGAGCCCCTCATCCTCGGGGTGAGGGGGCAGGGTGAGCCCTGGGTTCCCTACCGGGCGGGTCCATCACACCTCTGGTCAGAGTCCTTGACTAGGCCACGCCCTGGAACTGTGGATGCAGCTGCATGAGGCTGGAGTGGGCGCTAAGGAGGCTGGGGCCGCCTCTGGGCCCAGCCCTCCCCTCCCCCCAGCACAGGTGATGGTCCCTCCACTCTTGCTCTCAGTGTGGGCTTCTAGGGTGCCGGGAGGTGGTTACTGCTGCCACTCCGTCTCAGTTGGTGGGATGGTGGTGAGGACCCTTGGGCTCACCTGGCCCCAGGGCCCGTTTCCAACCGCCTGTGTGCCCTGCAGGGCGTGGGGCTGGCTTCCCTTGTGGCGCCCCTGCTAATCTCACAGGCCATGGGCCTGGCCCTCTACGTCCTGCCAGTGCTGGGCCAGCACGTGGCCGCCCAGCACTTCCCTGTGGCTGAGGCTGAAGCGGTGGTGCTGACGCTGCTGGCCATCTACGCCGCCGGCCTGGCCCTTCCCCACAACACCCACCGGTGAGGAGCTGGGCTGGGTGGGCACGGGCAGGGGGCGCCCTGGCCATGGAGGTAGCTGCCTCTGAGCCCCTTCCCTTTCAGTGTGGTGAGCACACAGGCCCCAGACAAGGGCTGGATGGCACTGAAGCTGGTAGCCCTGATCTACCTGGCACTCCAGCTGGCCTGCATCGCCCTCACCAACTTCTCCCTGGGCTTCCTGCTGGCCGCCACCATGGTGCCCGCTGCTGCACTCACTGAGCCCAGGGGGCCCCGGTATGTACTGGTCAGCCTCCTCCCGCCCTGCCCCCCTCCCCCACCTCTTCCAGGGCCTGGGCCCCTCACCACGGACGATGCCCTCACTCGGTACCCCTTCACACCAACTTCCTGCCTGTGCCCCCAACTCAGAGCCCTGACCCTGCTCCTCCACCCAGGCCACTCTATGCTGCCCTGCTGGTGCTGACAAGTCCAGCAGCCGCACTCCTGGGCAGCCTGTTCCTGTGGCGGGAGCTGCAAGAGGCCCCGCTGTCGCTGGCCGAGGGCTGGCAGCTCTTCCTGGCGGCGCTGGCCCAGGGCGTGCTGGAGCACCACGTCTACGGCGCCCTGCTCTTCCCGCTGCTGGCGCTGGGCCTCTACCCCTGCTGGCTGCTCTTCTGGAATGTTCTCTTCTGGAAGTGATGTCTGCTTGCCCTGTGGCACGAAGACTGTGGCGGGAACTCCCCAAACACCCCCATCGTCTCCTTCCTAGGAAATAAACAGGTGTCTTGTTTGAGCTGCCCTTGTGCTCCCGACCCACCACCTGCCGTCTGTGTGGGCTCCGGGGCCTGTGGGGGAGAAGCTCTGCCTGCGGGGCTTGGCATTCCTGCACAGCTCCTTCCTGGAGGGCACCGCCCCGGTCCACATACTGGGCGGCATCTTGGCTCACCGCGGAGGTCTGCATCCCAGTCCAGTGCTGTGGGAGGCACAGGGCTGGATAAGAGAAAACAGTGGGCAGCAGGGGGTGTCTAACAGGAGCTGAGGCGTCCCGAGACCTCACAATGCCACCGTAGTCAGTGCTGGGGCTGAGTGGGCAGAGGTGTGGGAGCTGGAGCCCTGCAGAGGAGGCTGGGTGTGGGGCCTGGGGGTCCAGCCAAGGCCAGGACCTTGCTGTGAGCGGGCTTAGGACGGAGCAGAGAGGAGCACCTGGCCCAGCTTCCTCAGCGGAACCAGACCAGGCACCCACGATGGACGGGGCACAGGAGCCCACCGGAAACAGTCGACGGGTGCAGCCCCCCAGGGGAGGGCGCTGGTGGGTCGGCTCGGAGAGAAGTGCGGATTGTTCTGAGAGGACCTGGGATCCAGTGTCCGTTCTGGGGGGAAGAAAAGCGAAGGGTGGCCCTTGGTGATGCCCTGGCCCGTCCATCATGGGTGGACATTTCAGGCTGGAAATGCCTCTTCTTGTGGGAGGGCCCAGGTGCCCCCACAGCACCGCACAGGGCTGAGAGGAGTCCAGTCCTTACAGGCCTCCCTGTTGGAGGGAGGCAGAGCTGCGCTGCCTGGAGGATCAACTCCTGACCAATGTCCCTTCAGTACAGCTTGCGGCCTGGGGAGCCCCCAGGAGGAAGCCCCAGCCCCCAACCCCTGCCCAGGCCTGCGCCTGTCGTGGGGCCTGCATTCCTGTCTTCCCCTGGACCCTTGGCTCCCTGGCTCCACAGTGGGGCTCAGCTGGCGCACTCCCAGGGCCAGCTTCCAGGGGGTTTCCTCTGGGACCTGTCTGCAGAGAGGTCCCTGCTAGTCCTGTTGAGGGGCATGTGCACCCTCCAGCGTGTGGGGATGGGCGTGGGGCAAGGGTGCTGGAGACCCACTGTGACGAGCAGCCTGTCTGCCTGCTGGGCCCCAAGGTCTACCTGGAACCTCTAGTCACTTGTTTTAAAAAATATTTTTGTTGATTTCAGAGAGGAAGGGAGAGGGAAAGAGAGAGAAACATCAATGATGAGAGAATCATTGATTGGCTGCCTCCTGCACGCCCCCACTGGGGATCAGCCCGAAACCCAGGCCTGTGCCCTTGGCCAGAATCAACCGGGATCCCTTCAGTCCGCAGGCCCAGGCCGCGCTCTACTCACTGAGCCAAACCGGCCAGGGCCCTCTAGTCACTTTTTAAAAAATACATTTTAATTTTTTTTATGTTCACTGTCACTTGATCTTTTTAAAAATATATTTTATTGCCCTGACCACTTTGGCTCAGTGGATAGAGCGTCAGCCTGTGGACTGAAGGGTCCCAGGTTCGATTCCGGTCAAGGGCCTGTACCTTGGTTGCAGGCGCATCCCCAGTGGGGAGTGTGCGGGAGGCAGCCGATCGATGCTTCTCTCCCATCAATGTTTCTAACTCTCTATCCCTCTCACTTCCTCTCTGTAAAAAAATAAATAAAATAAATATATATTTTATTTTTTTTACAGAGAGGAAGGGAGAGGAGTAGAGACTTAAAAACATCGATGAGAGAGAAACATTGATCAGCTGCCTCCTCCACACCCCCCACTGGGGATGTGCCCTCAACCAAGGTACAGGCCCTTGACCGGAATCGAACCTGGGACCCTTCAGTCCGCAGGCCGACGCTCTATCCACTGAGCCACACCGGTCAGGGCTGATTTTTTTTAAGAAGAGTCCAGTGGTAAGGCTGTGGGTCAGTTGTAGGAAGGACGAATATATAACCTAAACACTTGACTGAAGCCGTGCTGTGCAGTGACCTCCGGCGTCAGCTTCTCCATCGCCCCCTTCTGACACCAGCACTTCCCACGCGTGTCCTGTGCAGCCGCCAGCGGCGAGCCAGCCCTCAACCCC